GGGGGGGGGGGGGGGGGGGGAGAGCTAGTCGTTTTCACCAAGCGATGCCTCTGGTAGACGTTCTTGTTTAGCGTAACTTCGCACACACAAGTCCGCTGCTTTCTCCCTTGGTTTCGAGGGCAATCCGTCCTCCCTTTTCCGACGCCCGACAGTAGTTACGAGGGCTATCGGCAAGCTTGAGGAACAAGGGGTATTGGTGGTGATTGATGTGCCTACTGAAAAAACGTATCCCCTGTACCAAAGGATACCAGATGCACCACGAACATCGCTATCCACGACAACCGCATTCTCCGAAACTGCAATGAATCGCTGTGTGCTGCTCGGGAAATCGTCGAAATACAGGTAGGTAGCCGTCGCTGACGCTATGGATTCATGGCTTTTCTATCGTTAGACTCTTTTTTCTAGTAGATCGAGATGGATTCGTTGTCATACGAAGAAAATAGTACAAAGAATAAATAACAAGTGAATAACAGGAACACGAATCACACACCGACATGCAGGTGCGTCGAGGAGCTCCCCGAGACAGTAATGGGCGTGATTCGCCTGGTCAACGTCGACATCGACATGGCCGAACCGCTTCACCGGAGTCCCTCGTCACCTAGGGGGAGGGGAAGGGGGCGATAGGAAAATAGCGCACGTGCACGCGGACCGTCGATCAGCAGATTGAAACCGGTGGTACGCACGGGTTGTTTTGCGCTGGGTCGTTCAGTTTCAGCAAGCAACAGCTATGTGTCCGGATCTTAGGGTTACCACTCGGTTTGTCGGGATCGAGATTGCCATGGCTGGACCCTACGCGTACCGTCTCTCTCTCTGTCTCTCGGACCAATCGGTTTGCCGCAATCGAGGTTGATAAGGCCGGGTCCTACGCGCGCTGTCCCTCTCTCTCGGACCAATCGGTTTGTCGGGATCGAGACTGAAACGCTGGCCGGTCGCACTGTGTCGACGTTGTGTAGCGTGGAGCAGCAGCTAGGAGTGTTCGCCAGAGAGCGGCAAGCGTTTCCCCAGCTCCGCCCGTTTCTCCGCCCGGTGAATGGTGTATGTACTACATGCTACATAGACAAGAGTCTTTTGTTCCCTCTTTCGGTGTGCTTGTTGTTGGCTTTGGTGTTGTGTGGTGTGCATTATCGGCGCTTGGTTGAGAGTGCGGCAGTGCAGGACGTGGGTGGGTAACGTCCGTTGACTGTCGACGACGGCTTCGACAACAACGAAAGGTGCGAGTGTGTGTGTGCAAGGCATGATCAATAGTTGGGCCCACCGCCAGGTTGTTGCGGTTTACGCTTGTGACGGCCCGTGGCGCTAGTCATGGGGCGGGTTGTTCGTTTGTGCGTGCTCTTGATGGCTGTTAAACGACTTGAACGTTCGCGGGCTTTTCAGTGTGTTTCTGTTGCGGTTGCGTCGGGCGGCTGTGGCCTTGATTGCCGCATGCGTTGTTCTGTCTTTCGTTCGATCCTTGCCTGACTAGAAGAACCACTGCCGCTTCTAGCCCATTTACCCGCCCGCCGTTGTTGCTGGGGTGTGGGGATGGCTGTAGCGCCAGTCATCGCTCCGTTTTTTGTTGTGTGTGTTCTCTCTTGCATGCTAAGCTACAGCAGAGCAGCAAGACCCGTTGTTTTTTCCGATTATTAGTGGGTACAGCAAAACTTTGTGATGTTTTGTTACAATGGCGATGTACGATCGAGGTCGTTCGGTCCATGCCAAGGGGCACTAGAGCTGCAGTTTTCCTGTTTTTCTTCCGTCCCGCCCCCCTGGTGTTTGCCATCGGGATTGGGTTTTCGTCGCTTGGGAACGACGTTGTAAAACAAGCCGCCCCCCTGGTGTTTGCCATCGGGATTGGGTTTTCGTCGCTTGGGAACGACGTTGTAAAACAAGCCGCCCCCCTGGTGTTTGCCATCGGGATTGGGTTTTCGTCGCTTGGGAACGACGTTGTAAAACAAGCCAAGTCACTTCGTGAACTCGGCCCCAGGTTACCGCTTTTTTTTTTACCTCTGTTTTTTTTGGCGGTAACCATAATGGTGGTCGAGTAGATCATGTTGTGCGGGGTNNAGTAAATTAAGTCATACGCAGCTGCATTCGTACGCAAGGAAGTAAGCACAAGATGCCGAAGACCCTTGTCAGGATGCAGCGCACCCTTCATGCGACTCGCCGAATATCTCACGGCGCTTCGCGCTTGGTGATGTGAGAGCCTGGTTCGGTGAGGACCCGGCGTGGTCCGTCCCGGCTTTGTAGGGATACGAGGTCAATGGTCTAACGACTACGGCATGCACGACTATGAGTACCCCCCCCCCCCCCCCCCCCTCCTCTGGCTGTAGTGTCCAAGGGTGGAAAATGCCGCTATAGTAGCCCACTGAAGGCTTTCATTTCAACACACACACCATGTTGATGGCATTTTTGAGGATGTACTGGCGCTGCGGGTGTGGCTGCGGCGGTGTGTTGGGGTAATCAATTCCTATTGAGGACGCCTGCGCTCAACCCGCCGCGTGGATACAGCAGTGGGAGGCAGCGCATTGTTTCGCGACGGTATATAGTGTCTGGTGGAAGTGTAGCTGGTGGGGACGACGAGTCGCTGCAGCAGGTGTAAAACGAGCAACAGGAGACAAATTGCTCCTGATCCGATTTCCATCAGGCATGTTTTTTTCCAGACTCGTGAGACAGGTTGGGCCAGGCGCCCTTTTCCTTCTTGTTGCGGAGAAATTAATGCGTCTGCGTGCCCCCCCGCTCGGGGAGAGGCGGCAACGCCCAACAACAGGGAGGGCAAGGTTGTGAAAACCAACAGTCAGTCAGAAGTTGCTCCCCGTTTTGTTTTTGTTCGTCCGAATCGGCAGCTGTTTCACGCATCCTTCCGTTCTTTTTTTCTGCCAGGCAAAATAACCGAGAATTTTGAGGGCAAAGAGAGTGACCTTCTCTCCACCGGCGGGAACTAGTGAAGACGCTTTCCTCTCCCCGAAACCTTTGATTGCGGTTGACGGAGTACCTTCAGCAAGGGGGGGGCGGGAGGGGAAAGAGGAGGTCGACAACCTTGTGAGTTTTTTTAGTGCAAGATGTAGTCTAGTATGCTTTCCATGAGGCGCGTTTGAATCCTCACTTAAGAATTTCTGCCCGTGGTTGTTGTAGGTTGTTGTCCTCTCGGGGAGGAGCATAGAAGGTGAAAAGGTGCACAGTTGGCATGCACTTTTTCGATTCACAAAGCGCTCTATAGTCTATAACCCGTGACATTGCCTGTGGTACCGTGGTGCGGAGATGCAAACCAAGAACATCTCTCCCCTTTTAATGACTGCATGTTGTAGCACAGTGACAGACGACCTCGAACGAAATCCGTTTGTTGTGGCCAGGCCTTGTTCCTTCTTTCTTCTCGAAGGAGAATTGATAGTATCTGTGTCCCCCCACTCTAATATTAGACTATAGTATGGCCTTTTTTGTTCACGTCTGCCCCCCCTCCACCGAAAAACCCACACTTTCGTATGCTATATATACGTACCGCATGCATAGGTTGCGTAAGATGCCACACCCCGTGGACCAATTTAAAGTCTTCAGGTCACCCGGAGTTCCAAACGAAGAAGGAGGTCCGTCTAGCTGTCTATTGCCCGTTGTCCATGGCTGCTCGGAAAATAATATTCCAAGATAGGGATGCGCATGCATGGAGTGTGTGTGTAGTACCTTATGCAACGCACTGCGCACGCAGAAGAAAAGACGGATAACAGATTCCAGGATATATGTGGCCACGGACGCCGTCGGGTCGTTGCTCGTCCACACCAGACTACACCCGGCTACGTATTGTAGGATAGTAGTGTGTAACAAACCCCCTCCCTCGCTCTCACGATTTTCTTGTTGGTCTCCACGTCTCCTGCCACCTCCGCTTGGTAGGAGGAACGAACATACGTACACTTCTTTCTCCCACAGCAGCAGCATTCGGTGTGTGCTTCCCGAAGCCAACATGCGACTGCGTGGTGGTCGGCGGTGATCCTGGCGGGTCTCTAGAGCATCTATCTCCTCTTCTTCTGGGAGGATGAAGAAGTATGTCGACCTGCGTGCTTTTTCCAGAAAATATACCAGAACAGATCCTTGAGCTTCCCCCGGTCCACTGCTGTCACGTTGTCACTCGAACCCATAAACGAATTCAGTCAACGTTGTTAGTGAGTGTTCTCTACGCTCAGAGCACAGATGAACGGGAATGGGCATTGTTTGGTTACAACGCAAGTGTTTGATGAGTTCGCGCTGCTCCTCACGCCACTTTCGGCATTGTCCGATGCGCTCTATTGATTGGTGCAACCCCGATCCCCCCCCTTTGTCCCAGTGATTTTTTTTTTCTGGATCGGCGGGGAAACTTGTCCATTTACTTCCGCATCCAACCAGCCGTGCCGCCGCTCTCGCTGACGGCAAAGTCACAGCACTTTTTGATTGCCCTCGATCTCTATTCTGGTCTCTTTCCTCTCCTTTGATCCCTTTGGACCGTTCCCTGCAGAAGCAGAGGGTCTGTTAACGTCTTGGCCTTCGACGCTAGGACGCGTGAGTTAGCCGCACTCCACGGCACGCTCATCAGGACTTGGGACAACCCGCCGGGTCGTTTCGACCGTCCAAGTCAGGAGAAAGGTCTCAACTAGGTGAGGGAGAGACAAGTTGCTTATTTGCCAACGTGCCAGCATCAGCGATAGCAAGCAACACCCGCCGCCAGCGTACCGCACACGAACACCCGCCGCGTCTCTTCGAGACCGGCTGGTGATTGAGCCTGGCAGCCAGCGCGGTCAGGCGAGGCTGCTGTCATCACGTTCTTCTTCTCGAAGAAGTGAAACGTCACGACATGGCGGGTGTGCTGGTTGGTACTGCTGCAAATGCAGAGTTGGAGGCACGACGGATTCAATGTTTGTGGCAGGACCGCGGGCGTTTCGATGCGTCACGCGGCCGCAGAGGACGTCGCGCTTTCGTAAGCACGCGTACGTACTTTTTAGCGCTCGCGACGTGGTGGATTCATCGGGCTTGGAAACTGCTGCATCATGTCGGGCGGGCGGAGTTGATCCCTTATTTGCACACACACCACGCTTGGTCGTTGTCGTTTGGCCACAGGCGGCAAAATTGCGGAAGAAAAAACAAACCACGGCACTCTCACACTGGCTACGGACGGTACGTTGGAACGTTCCGAAATTTGCTGACTTTTGCAGTAACCTGCCAACTACTGCCGCTATCGATCACCCACACCGCCGTTGTTCCTAATTTGTTGCTGCCCTGCTTTTGTTGTCTGTGATCGTGCACTGTTGGTTTTGAACTTGTTGTGTCCGGGAATACGGCAGCAGAAGGGTTGTGGAGGCGGCAGACGCGCTGCGCCACCAAACCAGCCGTGACTGACGATCACGCACTCCTCCTCCCTTGAACAACCGCAGTTCCAGCGCCACGAGGAATGGAACTGAGCGAGCTCTCTATGGAAATGCTCAGCATGAGTTCAGCAGCGAACAACAAGATGGCCGACGGCAGCGGCTGCAGCAGCACGGCGGCGGCGCTGGGTCACCACTCCCAGTCCTCCGCCAACATGAGCAAGTCCATCAGCGGGGCTTCCCTCTCCTCCTCTCAGGCGACGCACCGTACGCAGTGCAGCTCGGGTATGAGCTCGGTGTCCGCCCGCCTCGGGAACCTCTCGAGCTCACCCGCCTCCCCGTTGGCGGACACCACCACAACTTCGGGCGGCGGAGCGGCGGCGGCGGTAGCGGCAGCGGCGGGTTACCCACACCCTACCTCCCCCGCCCCGGTCGCCGGCGGAGGCAAGACGGTGCTCGCGGGCGTCGCGCCGTCCTGCTTCGGGAAGCTGCGGCGGCGGGGTCGGTTCTCCAAGTGGCGGGAGTCCCTCTACTTCGAGCTGCGCAGCACGGCGCTGCTGGCCTTCACCGACAACAAGCCCGGCAAGAACACCGGTACCACTGCTGCTGCCGCGGGCGGCGGTGGCAACAGCAGCGGCGGAAGCTTCGCGTGCCTCGCCGCCAAGATCATGCACCCGCGGCACTCGGCACATGCCGGGGTGGACTGGGGCTGGAGCATGGACCTGTGCGGGGCGGAGCGCGTCGTGGAGCTTCCGGGGTCGACGAAGAAGGACACGTTTGCCTTCGCGGTTGAGTTTCCGGCCAGGGACAGGAAGAAGACGCTGGTGCTCGCCGCGCCGACGGCGGCCGACCGGGAGAGGTGGATGGCGGCGATGGACAAGGCGAAACGTCGCGTTCACGCGGAGGTGAGAGCAAAGATAGTTCCTGCAAGTGGTGTGTTGGTGCACAGCAGACAGAAGCAGAATCTTGAGTTCGGCGCCAGGTGGAGGAACATGATTCGGCGTGTTTTTCGTTCGTCGTTCCCCGTTGTTTTTTTTTTGTTTGTTTTTCTCCCATCATTGGACTCTGTCGTCTGCCCCTCTATCCTCCACTTCTACTAATAGCTAGACGATCCAACCGGGGTCACATAGGAGGGGGGGGTTGGGCCCCTCCTGCGGTTCATGCCTGAGGTATTTTTATCGCGAGAAGGGTACAGCAATCCCTTCCCTCGCGACTTACGAAGGCGACTCTGGTTTACTAACAAACGAGCTTTGCAGCGCGTCGCTTTTATCCTAGACCAGGATATATTTAGTGAGAAAAAACTCTCTCTNATCCTCCACTTCTACTAATAGCTAGACGATCCAACCGGGGTCACATAGGAGGGGGGGGTTGGGCCCCTCCTGCGGTTCATGCCTGAGGTATTTTTATCGCGAGAAGGGTACAGCAATCCCTTCCCTCGCGACTTACGAAGGCGACTCTGGTTTACTAACAAACGAGCTTTGCAGCGCGTCGCTTTTATCCTAGACCAGGATATATTTAGTGAGAAAAAACTCTCTCTGCCGTGACTCGAACCCATGACCTGGCCCTTAGCAGGCTGCGAGGCTACCTACTAGACCACCGGAGGGCAACCCGCGTACGATACCCGCTGCCTATTATTGTTCGTTCTACGAACGAGCTTGCGCACACACACATGGATGTACCATTGCGTGCGTGAACATGTACCATGCATCCATGAGAAGAGCTCCAAAATGTTTCGTGTACTATATATTTCATCACATCATACGCAGCAGTATGCAAAGAAAATAAGGAGCTTTCATTGCGTGAAATGTTCAGGCTCTAGCGTCCACCAAACCAAGAAGAAGCTTCGAAGCATTCGTCATGAATCAAAAGCTCTTGTGTGCGTTCGGTACCTACCTCTACCGCCTTCACGTTTTTAAAACTATTTTTCTGCGAGTGTAGACTATTTATTTTTCCATAATATCATGTAGCGTGTCTGGCGTTCGTTTCCGCCCGGTAAATGTATATATTCTGGGAAGTGAGGGTTGGGGGAAAAGCAAGAAGCACCAACGCGGCCGGCTCCAACAGCAGCAGCAGCGCGTCACGAATTGTCTTCTATTTAGTCTCCCGTCCTCATGGCCGTTGCATACCGCTGCTGCGACTGAAAGAAACGAGCAAGCTCGGCTTCGCGAGAAGCGAGAAGAGAGGACCGTATGCATGAGATGTAGGTATGGAGACCCCCCCCCCCTTTTTTTTTGTCTCCCATCATTGGATTCTGTCGTCTGCCCTTCTGGCCCCTATCCTCCACTTGTACCAGCTAGACGACCCAACCGGGGTCACATAGGAGGGGGGGGTTGGACCCCCTCCTGCGGTTCCTGCCTGAGATATTTTATCGCGAGAAGGGTACAGCAATCCCTTCCCTCGCGACTAATGAAGTTGATCAATTTACTAACAACGAGCTTTGCAGCGCGTCGCTTCCAACGGAGACCAGGATTTAATTAGCGAGAAAAAGTTCACTTTGTCGGGGCTTGAACCCATGACCGGGCCCTGAGCAGGCTGCGAGTCTACCCACTAGACCACCGGGGCGACCTAGTGTGGCCTCCCGAAAATATTTTGATACCATAGGTCGGTACACGCTTCCGTCCCACGTACCACCCCGCTTGTGCCAGACAACATTTTTTCCTACATGCCAGGGACTAGCATTTTACCATGTTTGCATATTTACATGTGACTTTCTTTGCCGGGCCAAGCTGTCTGCTGCTGCCGTGCAGGCGTGATATGTAGCTTATGTGATACTCCAAGTATGTAGAGATGGCGACGATCGTCGAACGATTCCGCATCATCGGTCGGTCTCCAGACGAAAAACAGCGAGGCAGCAGCACGCGTGCGCGGTATGCTGCTGGCTGCACAGATAACCTGTTCTCGATGTACCTATGCTGTTCTTTCGGCCACGCCTGATGTTTCTACGGACAGTCCCCCCTATAAGGTACGTTAGGTCCCTCGTACACGGTTTTTGTCGGCGTGTTTTACTCTGCGGGATCGATCATGTGTTTGTTCAATCAGGAGCGCACACTCCTGGCTGGCATGGGAGCATGTTGGTGGCTGCCTCGCACGAAAGGGCCTGTAGTCGATTAGCAGCAGCACATACGTATACATACGCCAGTGGCTCTTTTTTTCTCCAACAGATGCCGCCGCCGCAAGCGGAGCGATAGCTTGCACCCGTTTTGTTTGCGCATATCTATTGATGTATATCTGATCAAAGAGAGACTGCTGTGTGTTCAATGGAGCCTGTCTTCTAGGGGTACGCAGGCGCGGTACGCAGGCGCGGAAATATCAGTTGTTGGTTATGAATGACGTCACCTCTGGGACGCCCAGCCTGCCAGCCGCCACCACCTTTCTCGGCACGTGTACCGTTGAGTCGAGCGGCAGCCACAAGCACCTTCTTTCTTTTTCTTTTTTGACGCCGCGTGGACTACCGCTGTGGAGTCTACAAAGCGGGCCGTTCATGAGACAGACGACTGCGTTTAACAACGAGCTGGCTCCTCCTCGCCTCCCCACTTGTATGATGCAGTAGAGGGAGGTGGAGAAACTTGCTTGTATTTGGTACATAGATCCACCATGTTTTTCGGTGTGAAGGAACATTATAGACGTCGCAGGCGCGAAAGGGCGGGAGAAGACTCGCTGCCGCGCGCTTGTCGAGTCAAAACGAGAGTCTACTTTCAAGTTTTGAGAGGGAAACACACCGACAACGACGTTGGTTTGCCCGCCCGTCGAACTCGTATCTTGTCTCTCTCTTGTCTCTGAAGGCATGCTTGTTGCGACGCCCGTACGTATGGGTGTATGATTGCTTCAATGGTTTCCCACCCCCCCCTGTTTCGCGCAGTCTCGTGTTGTTAACACGCACGATCTCGCCGCAGGATGTATCGTGGTTGCTTCCATGGACGGTAACCAGCAAATAGTTCATTGATTGTTGAATTCCTTCAAGGTTGGGGGTGCATGTGTGCATTTTCTCGCTGCTGCTGCTGCAGCTGCTGCTGCTGCTGCTCGACCCTCCGTATTTTTGTTTCTATCTGCACGTGCGGGAACAAACCAGCGGTCATGCACACCTAGTGACATGGGTCGGCCCATTGAAGCTGATCGGCACCCTCATCGAACTCAAAAATGAAAAAATACGAGTAGAATAATCTGTAATGTTTGGGCGGGTTTGTCGTTTGAGCAAGCAGGTAGAAAAGAACTGCCATAATTTTTGTTCGGCGACCTGACTACTCTTGAGTATCAACTGCCATCGTTGATGTTTCCGGGCGAGCGACGCGTCTCCAGAAATCACAACTGAACGCTTTGTTGTTTTTAGTCTCTGCGCATGCGCATGCATATCATTTTGCCTTTGGCTATGTTTTTCTCTTTAAATGCTTCATATTTAATTGTTTTTTTTTTCGTCTCCCATCATTGGACTCTGTCGTTGCCCCTCCACTTGTACTATAGCTAGACGACCCAACCGGGGTCACATAGGAGGGGGGGGTTGGACCCCCTCCTGCGGTTCCTGCCTGAGATATTTTATCTCGAGAAGGGTACAGCAATCCCTTCCCTTGCGACTGATGAAGTCGACCAAGTTTACTAACAACGAGCTTTGCAGCGCGTCGCTACCAACGGAGACCCGGGTATAATTAGTGAGAAAGAGCGTAATCTGTCGGGACTCGAACCCATGACCGGGCCCTTAGCAGGCTGCGAGTCTACCCACTAGACCACCGGGGCGACCAACATGTAGGGACGCTATTCTCCGTAGCCATACGGAATAAACCTACCCCGCCGGTTACGGTCGGTTACGAGTCTTGTGCCTACGGGTTCAGCGATTGGCCATGTGCCCGAAAAACCAAAAGGGAGAGCTGCTCAAGCACGGTGCTCGGACGTGGACACATTTCGTTCAACATCACATTTTATTTTCCGCGAAATTTCTCCACGACAGGATGGGAGAACTTCGGCTTAGCTGCCGGTTCGGGGAGAGATTTTGACGTCGTTTGTTGCTCTTGCAGTTAAACTGCACGGAAACATCCGCGGGGGTCTACGTAACCTCCGTGCAGCATTGTTTACCCTATTCCGGCTGCCGGTTCGGGGAAAGATTTTGACGTCGTTTGTTGCTCTTGCAGTTCAATTGCACGGAAACATCCGCGGGGGTTTACGCAACCTCCGTGCAGCAATAATTGTTTGCCCTATTCCGCCCACCCGCCCGCACCGGTCTCGGCGTGTTATCTATAGCCATCCGCGTTATTATGGTACCCGCTGCTACTCCGGCTTACGTCTCTCGGCCTTTTATTGTGCTCGTGCTTCCTTGCCCACGATCATGTGCCAAAAACAACAACAACGACGGCAAATTGCGCTTCAGGATTTTGAGCCCCTGTCCGTGATCGGAGAGGGTCACTTCGGCAAGGTGTTGCTCGTGCGCTGGAACAACGGCGCTACCTTCTCCTCCTTCTCCTCCTCCTCCTCCTCGTCTTCAAGCACCGCTGCCACTAGCAGAAGCAGCAGCGGCGGCGGCGGGAGAGATAAAAGGCCCTCGGCGACGGCGGCGGCGGCGGGGTTGTTTTCGTCCGCAGCGACGATCGACGAGGGAGCGGAAGAAGAGGGGGGCGGCAGGGAAGATGGCGGCTATGCGATCGGCGAGGACGTCGACAAGGCCGGTGCTGACGAGGCCGAAACCGACGCGGAGGACGCCGACACCGACGCCGAGGCCGCCGACGCCACCACCAAGGCCAACACGATAGCCAACACCAAGCCGGCGTCCTCCTCCAAGTATAGCGGCAGCACCGTAGAGGACTCGATCTCCCGCAGCGGTCGGCACGGCTGCGACCGCTACCTGGCGGTTAAGGAGGTGGCCCTCCACAAGGGCACCTCCCTGCCAGGGGTCCTCAACGAGAGGCAGATCCTGGGCGTCCTGCAGGAGCACCCCTTCGTCGTGACCCTCCGCTGCGCGTGGCGCAGGGGCAACTACCTGTACTACGGCCTGGACTTCCTGCCCGGGGCGGACCTCTTCGAGCTGTTCCGCCGCAATGCGATAAAGATGGACCTGCAGTCCGCCAGGGTGTACGGCGGGCAGGTGGCGCTCGCGCTGGAGCACCTGCACAACCACGGCATCTGCTACAGAGATCTCAAGGTGCGTGTTGTGTTGTTTGTGTGTGTGTGTGTGTGTTTTTTTTTTGTCATTATTTATAGAAAGTTAACATAACCTCACAGAAAGACGTGTACCCGTTCGAGATATAATCTCAGCCGAACGGGATGTGGTGTAGTTTTAAGTGGATTGAAACCAACTGGAGACTTTGTGTGTGTAAGCTTGCACTCGACGGGCGCTTGCTTGGGCGTTTGTTTTGGTTTGGTCCCGTATCTGACGTCCTTCGATTGGTTGTGGTGCTATTTTGTGCGCGTGAATGCACGTGTGTCTGGTTGTTATCGTGTTAGTCGCTGTGTCCGCGGCGACTCTGTTCAAGCCGTCGTTTGGTGTTCAGCGGCAGGTGGCAAGTCTTTCTTGGAGAGAAGAGACGAAGCAAGCGCTTTACGTCTGGTTATTGTGGATTATGAGATGGAGGCTGTGTTTTTTGCTGGCGCGCCATCTTGCTGTGCACACTGCATGCGAAACCCACTTCAACTTGGAAACGGTTATGAGACGGGCGATACTACTTGACCATGCATTCGTCTGTGGCAAGACTGCACACAGCTTTGTAAAAATTTGTCTGTTGTTGGTTGAGGTTCGAACATCAAATCAAAAGCACGTCTGCTGTGGGGTTGGTCCAGTCTGCATGCTAGTTTTCCATCTTGCGTCACACCCTTTTGATGACACTGCAGTGCTCTCATGAGCCCGCTCCGGAGCGAGACCCCTTGTATGCGTTTGAGGTTTGCGTATCCCCGGCAAGCGCAGTAGCTCAGGCAGCAGTCGCGTTAGATCACGACACTTGGCGGGCTGACTATCCCCAAATACTATTTTTTGTCTGCCTCCGGCCTGTGTTTTTGTAGACCCGTCCTGTTGGGGTCTTTCATGTGGCCCATCACGTTGCGAACTCTTAAGGCTCCCCCCCCCCCCCCCCC